AATTAGAAATCCATTCATATTGGGAAAAATCACTTTATACCAATGGCAAAAGGCAAAAGAAAGTGGTTGTCAGACTGATTGCTTTTTGGCAAAAGCTGAAGTCCAAAATTTACCAAGGAAAGCTCCTAAGTCTCACTGGAGAGAAAGTTACACAGCTCAAGAACTGGAAGCCTGGAAATTGGAATTTCAGTTTCCTTTTATGGTATTTTAGAGAAAATTACATATGTGCAAACACAAGGCAGTTGTTATCATTTTGTTGACAAAATAGTAGTTTCTAGAAAGCTTTACTCTGATTTTTGAAGCAATGGGGCTGAGATTGGGGGAGAGGAATGGAGCAGAGGTGTATGTGTGGAGGCGGGGATAAAAAGCAGCATGATATCACATTTTACCTTTTTGGGAACTGATCTGGAGCAAATGTGAGGTGAATCTTCCCAAGGAAGGTCTGGCTTGGATTCAGCTACCCAGGGCAGAACAAAGAGAAAGTGAAAGGCCCTGGATCAGGTGTTTTCTAGGATGAAATTTAAAAGCAGCTCCTTTATCTTGCCTGCTCTCAGGTCCCTTTTTGGATCCAATTTTCTGGCACTAGATGTAAAAGCATCTCTAGAATATCCAGGTGCTCATGTGGAACCCCTGCCTCGCTTCCTCATTTCTTTTCATCTCCTGTGTTCTTTGTGTGTTTCTCCCACCCCTTCCCTCCCAGGCTGAGATTGTCTTTGAAGGCAGGAGTGATGTCTTACTCATTTTTGTATCTCATTTCTCCAAGCCTTGTCTCATGTGTATGGATCATATTTAATTTTTTCTGTTGTTAAATAAAAATAAATATAGTTAGAGGCAAATACCAATTCTCCACTGTTTCAGCTGCTACCAGGGAGATGACAGGAGATTGTTAGATTCACAAGGTGATCGCAGTCCTTCAGACTGCAAACCAGGAGGCCTGCTCCCTGTGAGGTTTGCCAGGACAGAATATGGGATAGAGACTCGAATGCTCTCTTTGCTTGCTGTTCCTCTCAGGAGTACCTATTTTGAATAGAATGAGTCGTATGTGAGTGTATTTATATTTCAAGCACAAATAAAAATTGTTCCAAAGGATTTTGTTGTTTTTGTCTTTGAAAGGATCAGCATCCTTGTTGTGATGTACACAGATTAAGGTAAATGTAGAAAAGACCACTGGAAGTAAAGGTCCCTTTGAAATTAAAAGCTCTGAAGTGTTTTAACTTTCCAACTTCCTTAGGCTGAAAATGGGAGCTAAAAAAAAACTATCTCATGGTCTAGGTGGAATCGAAGCAAACTAAAACTGACAGATTCCCTGGCTAGCACAGCATAGCTAAGTCTGTATATGTATATCTCCTGGCTTTTGTTTCTATGAATTATAAATGCTTCTGTAGGACCAGAATAGAAACAATCTAGCTGCTTCTCCCCAGTTTAATCAACCCACATTAAAGAAACTTTTCCTCTTTATAATGTTCACTTATTTCTTATGTGATGAATGGCTGAGTCCAGGCAGTTCAGATCAAGGCCAATTCCCTGGCTTGGCTGCCCAACAGGAGTTATTTTTGTGGAAGGAGAACAGCTTTAATGGTAACTATCAATACCTTAAAGCTTCCATATCTTTATAAGTACGCTGAATAAAATGCTCTTCATCTTTATAGCTTCTGCTAATGGAGTTAGATTCACGAGTGAGAGAAAACGTGCCTGTGACTTGTGCCCTTATATGACAGCATATGTCATTTTTTTTTCTTCCTTTAATCTCAACGGATGGTATACTATCGCACACCTCTACAACTTGCTTTTTTTCTTGAGTCTTTCTTGTTAGCTCGAATAGATGCCCCTTCCTCTTCAAGGGCTCTATGGATATGTGCAATTAATATGCTGTTGTCTGTCACTTCCTGTCTCACCCTTCAGACTGCAAACCAGGAGGCCTGCTCCCTGTGAAGTTTGCCAGGACAGGACACGGGATAGAGACTGGAATGCTCTCTTTGCTTCCTGTTCCTCTCAGGAGTACCTGACCTTTTACCCCACCGTGGCAATTGATTGCAGTCTCCAGTTTTCCTATTTTTGACATTCCCAGCCTCATTCTATTTACTCAGAGGCAATCACGCCCCTGGCCAGTGACCCTTCCCCCAGGGCTCTCCTGAAAAACCTCTGGATTCTCCTAACCTCAATGTTTGTTTTCCTTTTGTTTTCTCAGTCTTGGGGCATGAATTGCTTCCTGGAATTACTGTCCCCTTTTTCTCCTTTTAGCTGTTTGAAGTTCTCAATAACTAAATAACCAATAGCTTATATTAATTTCTTTGTTGAAATGCCTAGGTAGCTTCTGTTTTCCTGGCTGGACCTGAACAGACGTAGTACTTGTTGCCCAAAGGGGGTTCAACCCATCTGATCATGCTGAGTCACAAGGCCCTAGGTAGTAGAGCAGCTTGCACTGCTCTCTGGGACCCACTGCAGAGCATGTTCTCACCTGGACTCTTGGATGAACGAAAAGTATTTAACTAGTATTTACCTAGTCCCCTCTAGATGGACAGGTAGGTTGTTTCCGGGCATTTGTTACTACAAACAATGCATTAAGTAAACTTAAATGAATTTTTTCCCCCATGTGTGAAGAGGAATTACTGGGTCAAAAGAATTGCCCTATATAGAAGCAACAGACAGAAATCTATTTGTATTAGAATCAGAAATCAACAAAGGGAAGAGTGAGCCAGGTATGGTACTCTTGTTCCAGTAAGAAGGACTGCTAATGGGAGAAAGAAGCACAGCATGACATCTATTACTTGAGGAATCACTTTCTGACCTAGGATTCATGGGCTTCACTTTGAGACCTTTGGAGATAAGTAAGGCTACAATAGAAATGAAAAATAAAGTTCTCTAGAACACTTTTTTTTTTCTTTTTAATTTCGTTAGGACACTTTTGTACTCACTTAAAAGAGGGTAATACAAAAGAGGGAGAAAAGCACTTTGTCCCAGATTACCCCTAGGTTTGAACAGTTCAGGGAGTACCTGTGCCCAGTGAAGTCTGAGCACCAAACTAATGTGGCCTTGATGGCTGGGTCACAAGAGTGACACTGAGGGATGTGTGGCTATTGGAATAAGTGTCAGTGCTGCTGTATATTGCAGCTGAAAGCACATGTGAGATAGCTACTAGGGAATCCCAAAAAACACGTGGAAATTTGTTGGTTTCTGGGTCTATTTCCTACAGCAGCAGAAAAGATAAGAGCTGGTAGAACACAAATTACAAAACTTCTTTACTGAGGTTGTCCTTTTTTTTTGATTTCTATATCTTTGCCTCATAAACTGGGCTTTTGCTTAACAATAAAGATTAAAATATTCTTCTTCCTTGAGTCCTTGTAATACATTTCTAGCAAACCTAGGAAGTGACTAAATTATTTTTACCACTTGCCATTTGGTTTTTCTGTCCTTCTCTGTGAAGCAGAACTCTACTGCAGTCATCACTGGCTTGTTTACGAGATAAACTACATTCTACACATTTGCTTTTGCTTATTTCACCTTAGCATTACATGGTAACAAAGCTGTGTGTGCAATCGGAGTTGTGCTTTCCTACCCTGTAAGATATGGACTGCCTTCCTGCAGAGGACTTTATTTTATGTTCCACTGTGTCTTGTTTGTGCCATTCTTAATTTGCACAACAGAGATGCTGTCATCACCAATTAACATTAATCAAGGGCCCCCTGGATACATGGCTGCATAGGGACTAATTTAATATTCTCCTTGTTTCAGATATCGGGTGGCTCCTTCAAATGAATTTTTAAGTATCTTAGTGATGAAGAATAAGAGCGGAGACATCAATTAGGAATCAGAAAGACAAGCCTTGGCAGAAAATGCATAAAGAAGAGGTTGGTGCTAATATTTGAACACTTAAGAGAGGTTTTTTTTTTTTTGTCAACAAATGATAAAAGTAGAAGGTGCTATATTCATTGTTCCTGGAAGAAATCTGGGGGCATTGTACCCAGATATCTGCCCTTTGATCATACTATTTCCCTCTTTACTTATTGCAGTTCTTCTAGTCTTCAAGACTGAGTCTGAATATTTCCTCCCAGGCCTTTTCTAATCATTTCTGCCCTCAGGGATGACTGACTCCCTGCTTCAAACTTCTGTCACCCCTTTCATTTACACCTCTCATTTAGAAACTGACCACAAGACGACTATTAAATGCACATCCTTCCCAAGTACACATCATGAAACTGTCTGGGCAATCTCTCTCTTACTCAATTCTCAGAGTCAGTACTGTTTCTGTCAATAAATATCTCTTGATGATGATGGCCATAAGACTATTAAAATCAAATGGAATTTTATTTTTAAAAAAGGGTAAGGGGAGAAAAAGGATAAAGGTTTGGAAGTTGAGACAAGCATCTTTAATATATCTATATTTTTTTTAAATCTAAGAACTGTACATATATGTAGTTTTGGAGGCAGACAGAGATTGAGGGAGGAAGAACATCACTGGAGGAAGACAACGATTTACCTTTTGAATTTCAATAAAATTTATTCTAACCTAAGTTTTATTTATTTTTTGACCCTATCCTTTTGATGTGACAATAGTGTAAGGTGGATAATTTTCAGCTGAATAGCCCCAAACATCTTTTCTGAAAACATTCAGTTTTAGAAAACATTTGGTTTCGTTGTGCATTGGAACGAAGCAAACCCCTCCATGTTTTATGATGTCAAGATCCTGGGACCAGCGAAATCGGCTGCATCCGAACCCCACCAGCACGCCCCACCCCATTGTTGCGCAGAGCCAGATCCTGGACCGGTCGAGCCCTTCTAGGATGAAGCTCCCGCGGGGCTCCGCCCATCCCGATCCCGAGAGCCTCATTGGCCAGCCTTCCGCCCGCCATATCTAATCGCCCTCTGGATTTGGCAAGGGAGGTGGGTGGCTCCCTTTCGGGCACTGATTGGTCAAATCGTAAAGACGGCGAGGGACTCTGCGAGTCTTGATTGGTTTTAAGATTCAAAATGGGCGGGGAAGGCAGAGCGACAGGTCTCAGGAGGGAGGCGCGTAGTGCGCCGGCGCGTAGTCGGGGACGCCAGGCCTCGGCTTTTGCTGGGGAACCGACTGTTGTCGCCCCGCCCCCTCGGGGCTTTTTGTCCCGTTAACTGTCGGAGTGGAGGGGCCTCCAGCGCCCGGAGCCATGCCGGTGCGCTTCAAGGTGAGGCCGGGGTCTCGGAGACTGAGGGCGGCTGGGGGGAGCCGCGGCCCGGCGGGTGCGGGGCGAGGGCGCCGCGCTGGTTTCCTGCGCTGCGCATCTTGGCCCCGCCGAGGCGGCCAGCCCCGAGCCTGCCTGCTGCGGCCCTGGTGGATGCTCACTCCTCTTACCTGACTCCCTTCATGGTTCTCACACACTTCCCAGTTACCGTGTGTGGGGATGTTGGATGATATTAGAACAGATTCATCTGAGGGGATTCCGAGGAGCGGAGACAGGAGGAACGAAAAGCGACTTCAGTTTGGGACACCTGTGACCCCATCTCACAGTTTAATCCCTCTTTCCTTTAAAACTTGAAAGTGTAAGAATCTCCTAAATAGTTGAGAAATGGGTCATTAGTAAAAAGAGTTTGGGCAGTACACAGTTTTCATAGTTGTGCATTTGTTTTAGGATTTATTAGAAGGTTCCGGTGTAGCTGTTCAGGGACCAGAGCACTCTTCAACATAATAGGTGACCACAGTGTTCCATAAATCCTGACCGTAGTTCCTTTAAGGTCTCATATCCAGAATGGGAGGAAGTTTGTCTTTCTTTGGTTGATTTTATTAAAATATTAAATGCCTCTAGGCATGATTCAGAATATTGTGTACTTGGTGGGAGCCTGGTAGTGATGAGGAGTTAGGTTGCCACAGGATATCAGATGCACTCACAGTTTGGAATCACAGAACCAGCCCAAAAGGGAGCCTCTCAGATTCCCACTAGCTGTGCCTCAAGTGGTTGTGAGGATTAAAGGATATAACACATGAACTCTTTAGCACAGGGCTGGGGTGAACATTAACTATTATTAAGGAGCTTGTCTGTGTTTAATTATTGGTCTTGAGTCTTTCAACTCTTCGGAGTTTTGGAAGTTGTTTTTTATTGATGTGTGCCTTAAATCAACTTTCATTAATTGCACTACACTCAAATTGTACTTTACATTACAGGGACTGAGTGAATACCAGAGAAACTTTCTGTGGAAAAAGTCATATTTGACAGATTCCTATAATGCCTCGGTGGGACGAAGATACCCATGGGCTGGACTTAGATCAGATCAACTAGGTAAGTTGATCAAACTAGTAGCCATTATAACTTTAGTAAACCTTGGACTTAGTTTACAAAATGATTTATTCAAAATCCAGATGGTCTGATTAACTCATTCATTTATTTAACAAATATTCGATGAATATTCATCGAATATTTGTTAAATAAACATTTACGGCTGGCATTGTGGCTCAGTGGCAGAGATCTTGCCTCACACATGTAAGGCCCTGAGTTCAATCCTCAGTACCACATAAAAATAAAACAAAGAAATAAATAAAATAAATATATTTAAAATAAGTAAATAAATATACATTTAAATATTTGTTTACCATGGCCCCAGACTATCCCAGTATCTAGGGTTATATCACTGAACCAAAGTTCCTTAATTATAGAGATAATAAGCAGTTCAATAAATAAACAGAAATTTCAGGTTATATATAAAATAGTAGGAATGTGAGATAGATAACATGGGAGACAGGTGGATTGGAAGGAAAACATTTTAGATTTGATAGTTGGGGAAGACTTTTCTAAGGAGGTGACATTTGAACTGGGAAAACTGAGAGGGGATTAGCCTGGGGAAGAACACTCCCAAAATCTTGAGGAATGGAAGTGTAGATTAAGTGGCTTGCCTCAGGTTCACAGTAAATGGCAGAGCCGTGATTTGGAATCAAGTCTGTTTTGTTTAGAGCCCATGAACTCAGAAGGTCACATTCTTATTACACACACTGCCTCCCCATATCCTAGGGAATTCTGAGTCCTGACCAATTTTCCCAGGCATGATAGAAAAGAGACAGACTGACTTTACTGTATCTCCCTGTTTAATTTCTCCCTCACTAGAGTGTAATATCTCTGAGAGCAGGGCTCTGTCTTCTTGTTTCTTCTCAATACCTAACTCAGGGCCTTGGAATACTCGACTACTTATTAAAACTGATTTTTGAATGAATGAATAAACTTAAATTTAAATCTACATTTTGCCAAGTGAGATTTAACCCACAGCATAGGATTGTTGTAAGGTATTAAATGAGATGTTGCTTATTAGGGCATGTGTATATGCACAGATCAGTGCTTGGTACCTCATGGATGACTTGTGAGAACGACTGATGTGCGGTATCTAAGTTCCTTAAATGTTAGATTTTAAAACAGGAAAAGGAAAGACCTATGAGCAGAGTAAAAAGGTTGGGAAGTTATTGAAAATGGGGAGTGTTTCCAGGATTAGGTTTGGGGAACAAAGGAAGAGTGGCTACAGTGTGTGGCTATTTTAGGATTCCTTCTGAAGTATCAGGATGCTTATCCCAACATGACTTCAGAGACTTGGGTGTCCCTTGCTTCCCTGGGAGGGTGTTGGGAATACCCTTCTGCTCATAATCTTCTCTTTCCAAGTGACCAGAAATTCCACATTTTCAAGGTGCCATTATATTAAGAATGCAAAATAAATCTTAAAGTGTAGATATCCTGCCAAAGGCCCAGAGGGATATGAAAAGAGCGTTAACAATTTTTAGCCAGATAGTTGCTCCCATAATATTTTAACTTAGATCAACTACATTTTAAGGGACAGTGATAAAAGGAGACCCTGGGAACAAAGCCACTTTTGAACAATGTATGTTTAAAAGGAAGGAATGGTCTAGGGGGGGGAATGTCAATGGGACTTTTAAGTAAGGGCAAAGGGTGAAGCCAGAGCTCAGAAATGGAGGTGGGAGGTTAGCAGGGAACAGTGGTAGTTTTGCATAGGACTGAATGTACATTCTTTTAACATTCTGTGTTTATTACCCTGGGATTTGCTGGCTCTGGGAGACAAGGGTCAGTCTACTTGAGAATCTTCCCTTTACATTTGGTGCACCTACCCAAATCCTGACTTTGTATTAAAACAGAAGTCTAAGGCAGTGTTCTTCAAATTTTTTTGCTTTCATACTTCCTAAAAGAATTTAGAAAATCTTGCTATCCACTCTCATACATTTTTAAATTGATATTCATTTATTTTTATTTATGTTTTTTATAAATAGTTTATAGGAGAGTACTTTCTGGCATATTGGATATTGAATAGATGTTTTACGTATATTTTGTTAAAACATGGGGCTGCCAACTTAGCTCATTCAATTTATGGAAAATATTCCTTATGTAATTGACAAAGTCATTTCTCACTGGCAAACTGACCAGCCAAACTAGGTATTTCCTGTGAGAAAAAAAAAAAATTAACTATCTTTTGGTTCAAAGTTAATGAACCAAAAGTTAATTTCACATGACATCCTTCTCATGTGTCTGAATTTTAATTCTAAGATAGGTGGATGGAAAAGATGTGAAAGTGTATTTAATAAGATGCCATTCCTTTGTTATTTCAAGTCTGCCTGTGCTTTTCCTGTCATCTATTCTCCCCTGGGAATTATGCTTTCTTGATTGTCCCCTTGTCTCCCCACCCTTGAGATTTTGTTATACCGGGGGGTGATGCATCATAGTAAGTTTCAGTGGGTTGTGAGGCATGTCTGTCTTTTGTAAAGTAGGAATAGGGTGATTATCAAAGGGGCAGTGGGAATGGAACTGCAGGTGGCAGATGCAGCTCTTGGCATAGATCAGTGTAAAGCAAGAGCACATATGGATTGGATGAGGATCTGGAAGGTGTTCATTTCTGTTTATTCCCCTGGGAAGTCTTAACCTTATCCATTTGGAGGCCATTGGTCTAGGGAAGCCGGTAAGGACAGGAACTCTGGGTTGACAGCTAACACATTTGTGATAGTGGTGATGGAGCTCTTGGTTTTATCTTGTCACCAATTCTCTGTCTGCCTTCCTTTTTCTTCCATTTCTGATCTTCACCCTCTTCCCCTCTCTGCAGCAGTCTTCTTTCTCTTTAAAGAATGACTCCAAACTAGGCCAGTGTCTCAGTGCTGTCATTTACAGAGCTTCTTTTACCTCAGTAGATGGTGAAGTTTCTGGACATTTGCTTGCCAGACAGAAGTATAGAGAAGTCATATCTTAACTCTCGTTGAAAGGATTCATTATTTCTGCTGCTCAGGAAATCAAGGCAAAAGTAGAACCACGATCCAGCATAATGACATTCCATCCCTTCTCATTTGGGTCTGCTCTGCATAAGAGAAGCTTTGTGCAGAGTTCCAAATTTTGACAGACCAGGGCCCATTGTCCTATTAAGTAGAACAGGAAAGTAATTAGAGACGGAGGCAACATGTCCTCGCTGGCTTGCCAATCTGTTCACCTTTCGATTCTAGTGACTTGTGTAAAGATAACCTGAGCATTGTGACCCCAATTTTTAATTTTTGGTTATGGTTAAGCTTTTAATACTTTGATAAAGCAAAATTAAATATTTTATGTTGAAAAATATACTTAGCTTTATATCCTGATTCTGAAGGAAATTGTGTGTATATGTATATATATCTCTAACTGAATTTTAAATTCCATTTCTTCTTTCATAGGTATTATTAAGAGTTTTCTTTGTAACTTTGTGGTTTGGTAGCTATTTTTGCATACTGTGTTTTGTAGGGATCACCAAAGAGCCAAGTTTTATTTCCAAAAGAAGAGTCCCTTACCATGACACACAGGTTTCAAAATCTCTGGAGTGGAATGGAGCTATCTCAAAGAATGATGTGATTGTATCACCAGAACCTAAAGTCCCAGAAATACCAAAATCACAAGAGATGAAACAAAACAATGTAAACCAAGAAAAAGTTCTCTCACTAGAGGGCTCCAGGGTTCCCAAGAGAACCAGATCTCATTCTGCAGACTCCAGATCTGAAGGAGCTTCATGTGCTGTGGAAAAGAACGAGGATGTAATAGCAAACCATGTACCGGTTAATGAAAATGTGGAACTGGAACATTCTACCAAGCTTCTTTCCGAAAATGTAGATGATGGGGTAGGCATATTCATTGTGCTTTTTTTTCAGAAGCCTAGAATTCTTTATTGGTTTTAACATCACCTTACTAATATTACATTTTGTGTTTAAAAATTTTCCCTTGTTTTTTGTCTGTGGTATAGTTGATAAAGAGGCTGTTGACTTCAGTTAGTATGAATGGTTCTATTCTTCATACTTGATATTTTGAATTGGTTTTACTAGGATAGGCCTTCATTGGGTGAACAGCCTGCCTCTGGATTTTAGTCATCAAAATTGGCACCTGAGTCCTAAGGGAGAGATTAAGTTGAGACAGAAAGGGGAGTAGGCCATTACTTCTGGCAGAGGTACTGAGCTGACTTCTACCCATCCCCATTTCAGTTTCTTATTGTATACCAGCAAGAAAACAAACAGAATCTCAGTTGACCAAATGCAAAAGGAAGGAGAGTTCTGGCTGGCTGTTAAAGATCTTGCAGTTCTGTTCTCTTTTGTCACAGCTGGCCTGCCACTGTTCCCTGTGAGCACATAAGCAGAAGCTCAGGGGCTCCTTTGTGGGATCTCATTGCCTTCAATCCATGGCTCCTTCCTTGTTTCATGTCCACCACTGACTGGAACTCTGCAGAGGCACTTCAGAGTGCTGGAGAAGAATCTATGGCTTGTTGAGAAAACTAGGGGTACAGGGGAATCAAGGAAGGTGATGTGTGAGTCTGGTGGGCAGGGGAAGTGGGTGTCCATATAAATAATGTGTGGATTAGAAAAGATACTTTTTTTTTTGTAATAGATTTAATTATGAGTGATTGATAGGAAGGGACTGAGAGATGCTGCCTTTTTCTGGGGTGCATAATAGTCCATCGACAGTATTAAGAGTGGAATTTGAAATAGTTTAACAGTTTAAAGATCATTTAAAAGTTTTAAAGTTTGCTGCACAATAATGTGCATATAGTTAGTAATGCTGTGACGTAGCCCTAAAAACTTGTTAAAGAGGATAGATTTCTTTTTTGTGTTTCTAAGCACAATTGAAAAGAAAGTTTGAGTACAAATTTTTAACGGCTTTGAGTGATTTTTTTTTTCTCTTCTAACAGGTGGATAGACTTCTATGTAAGAAAGCTGGATTGACAGTTGTTCCTTCACATAATGCCTTGAGAAATTCTGAATATCAAAGGCAGTTTGTTTGGAAGACCTCTAAAGAAACTGTTCCAGTGTTTGCAGCCAATGAGGTAGTTTAAAGGATATAATACATTTTTAAGTATCATCATCTGATGTAGTGATGTAAATTTACATAGAATTAAAAGCCAAAAGAAATTTGGTACTTATGTAGGCCCTGAGGTAGGTTCTAGAAAACAGAATGAGAGTTTTGCTAAAATCCTCTTTACTACTTATGATTTATAGCAGTAATATTATAGTGTCCTAGGCTACTGATGATCATTGTTGCCAGATCCATCACATACACTAATTATGAGACAGGGTAATGAAAACTTGGGGAACTGGAAAGTTTTTGCATGCTAAGAGATTTTTTTACTAAAAAATTTCATTACGTTGATTTTATTCTAAAATGCTATGCTTAGTTGACTAATATTTTTGCATTTTTCTGTCTTTTAAGAAAGACATAACTAGTTCGGATATATATTTTAATAAATATAAAATCACTAAAGTAACACAAGATACGTAATTTTGTTTTTGTATCAGGTGAATAATAATAATAATTGACAGTTTATAAAATTCAAAATGTGATATTAGATTTCATTATACTCTTGCACAATTTTAGATATTCTGCTGTTTTATTGCTATCATCTTCTAGATATTTCTTAGGATCTGAACCCTTGTTTATTTTCTTAACCATACTTCCAGGCCTAGGTAGGAAATAGCTCTACTTCCAGGACCCTTGAGAACTTAGCCTTTTCTTTTTCCTGGTCTTTGTGTTTGTCTTGATTAAATACACACACTGTTTCACACCCCCTCACATTCATTTTTTCCTGTACTGCAACATTCACTTGTATACTTTATATACCTCTAAAAATTAAGAGGAGAGGATAGTTGGATTCTGCAGGACAACAGTGTCATTCATCTTACACTAAAATAATAATACCAGTGACTGCATACATTGTGGCAGTTTTGGGCTTATTGAAACTTATAACATTTTAAGAACATATTAACCTAATAAATAGGTTTAGTACTTCTTCTGCTTATTCACAGATATTCTTGGATTTTAAGTACCTAAGAAAACTACTTTATGACCTGAAAATTGTAATTGTTCAGTTTTCATGGAATATTTGAGGCATAAACTAAAGTTGATTCAAATCAGAACCATATTGACAAGTTTTACATGTTAGCGAACGCATTGTGTAGAAATGTTATTTTTATAGTATCAAAAGTACAACATGAAATAAATCAATAGCAATATCTTCACTAGTAATCTTATTACTTTCGTTAGTGAGGGTTTTAAAGAATTCTTTTGGAAGCAAATGTTCTTTGTAAGTCAAAAGCATATCAGTTTCAGGGTCTGTGACTTGAAGAGCTCTATGATAAGCTTTCATTACTTGTTGATGGAACCTCTAATAGAGCTATTCAGTTCTATTTTATCAGACACCTGTCCTCTGAAAGGATGTCTTATATTAAATATGTAAAGGAGTCAGAACAGTTTTCGGCTGAAAAGTCCTTGAGGTTGTCTTGTATTAAAAAAGGCGTACTGCTTGGATTAGATCTGAATGAAGATGTGCTGTTCAGCATTTTAAAGTAACAGTACTGTAGAACTTACTTGAACTCCTACTTATTCCATTTGACTTCCTTGTAATCAGTGGTTATATACCATAAGATTGAAACCATATGATAAAACATTAAGGATAAAATGAAACATTTAATGTAATTTCCCGAATTTTTTTCTTGCTTAACGAAAAAGGTAAAAATAAGTAAGCAATGGAAAAACTCAATCAAACACATCTGGTATTCAAAATATTAAGAATTTTATATTGTTATAAGAAGAGAAAATTTATGTAAAGGAGGGACAAAACTTGTACAAAAACAATTACAATTTTATTTATATAATTCAAATATTTCTATTTTACTTACGGGAGGTTGGAGGTAGGTAAATGGGAAGAAAAGATAAAACACAAGTGTGGTTTATTACTTATTTTGTCTTAAGCATTATTTTGATTACAGTTACTATTATTTAAAATGTAATTAAGAATATGGAAATTTGACCTTTGGATTAGACATATGAAGTGAAATGACAGTCATATATAATTTTGCTTTTTTTAATCCTATAATTCAACTTTATATATGATTTTTTTTTAAAAAGCAAAGACCTAAGTTCTGTATTAACTGACAAAAAAATCTAAACTAAACTAATTTTTGTTTTAAGGTTTTCCACAATAAAGCCCAATTTGTTCCACAATTCAAAGGTAATTCAATTGTCCATGAAACTGAATACAAAAGAAATTTCAAAGGTTTATCTCCAGTGAAAGAACCAAAATTAAGAAATGATTTGAAAGAAAACGAAAATCTTGAAACAGTATCTCCTGAAAAGAAGGTATTCATTGATTCTTAACCTTCAAACAAACAAATCCCCATGATTAGATCCCTTCTTTCTTTTCTTTGCAAGTGCATTTATTTATTTGTTCATCATATGTCAGATGCTCATCAAGTACTCACTTGGAGCCAGGCACTGGGTCAGTGCAGAGACTACAGGGATGACAAACACACCAAGTCCCAAGCAGCTCCTAGGCTAGTGGGACACATATATATATAAGTAATTAAAAATAATATGGCTGGGTTCGGTGGTGCACACTGATAATCCCAGGGACTAGGGAGACTGAGGCAGGAGTATATCAAGCTCAAAGCCAGCCTCAGCAAAAGCAAGGCACTAAGTAATTCAGTGAGACCCTGTCTCTAAATAAAATACAAAATCGGGGTGGGGATGTGGCTCAGTGGTCGAGTGTCCCAGAGTTCAGTTGCTAGCACCCCCTACCCCCAAAAATAATGTAGTGTGACAAACTCTTAGCAATACAGCAGGTAAGTATACTATCTGATATCAAATGATTGACCTTACAGTAATGTAAGCTGTAAGTATAACAGGAAAAATAAACACATATTGTAAATTAAGTAATAGAAATTAAACAGAAACACATACACATGTGTTTTAAACCAAAACCTTAGCATGCTAAGTTATAACTAGTATAATTCACATCACTTATACACAATATAACAGTTATACACAGTATAACATTTGCTTCAGTATGTGAAATTATACCCATTTTAAGTAACAGCATCAGACTAAAATCATAAATGACAGGAAAATGAAATATAAATGTTATTTTTGAGTCTCCTGTAATGTTGATAACCTGATACTTTATGGTTTCTATAATAAGTGTGTGACTAAAAGTAAAATTATATGTGTGTATGTATTTGGATTTTTTTTTTTTTAACTGTGACATTCTTTGGGAAAAATGTTAAGTTACTCAGTAAAGCATTGTGGTAACTTATTCATCAGAATTTACATTTAATTACTGTAACAATTAAATGTGAATCTAGAACGTCAAAGAAATCTGCAATCACTCTTCAATATGTAGTAACATTAAGTTCGATTATTTAGATGTGTATTTGTTAATCTTCCCTAGCAAAGGGTCTAAATTGTTTCTCGTTAGAAAATGAAACCATATCCTGTGTTATATTCCCTGAAACTAACTAGATGTATTGGTTTCAAAACTTGTTGATTTGTTATGACTTCTGTTATCTTTAGTGTTTAAAGCCTGCTTCTAAAAACAGAAATGGAATATAATATCCATGCTTAACTTTATAACATCTGTGTTTTTACTTTATAATATATTTGAAGCATAAAATCTTAAATTATTTCCATTTTAGTGTAATAAAACAGATGATCTTTTAAAATTAGAAGCAGAGATGGCATCGAAGGACTCAAACCAGCCTAAAAAGAAGCTTGCTCCTTGGAGACATCAGAGGCTTGGGTATGTATTTTAGAAAAGTATCATGGTATTTAGATGGTGAACGTAGTGGAATATTTACCTTCATTTCCTCTCTGTTAGGAAGGTGAATTCTGAGTATAAAGCAAAATTTCTGAGCCCAGCTCAGTATTTATATAAAGGTGGAGCTTGGACATGTGCGAAGGAAAATGTGCCAGATCAGGTGAGTATGTAATTTCTCCTTTGCTTTCTGTCTGTGTACCAATTTAATTTCATAATGAGTTTTAATAACAGAGACTTAAAGATGCACTATAGCATACTTTTAGAGTATAGCACTAAAAATATCAGGAACTTCAAGCTGTATGCATTAGAATATAATTTATCAATGTGTTTACTATTTTTATAACAAAAGTCTTGCTAGAGATTAATATTTATTATTAACCTGTTTAAAGTTAAAATTTTTTTTGCAATAAAACATTTGATTATTTTAATAAATTCAATTTACAGAATTGTAGCACCATAGATTTGATTCTTTTATGACATTCAAACCTCCAGTCAGTGTGTATGTACCATTATTGTCTCTAGGCAAAAGGAAGGTGAAGCCTGAGTTCTTAGAAGTTTGAGTTTTAGTGTTGGGGTACCCTGATATAAGGGAGAAAGAAACTTTGGGGATCTAAAGATAGGTCTGAGGAAAGGGTAATTATTCCTTAAAACTGAGAATTGTTACTTGTGTGGCATTTCTAATAGGCAAAGGATAAGCAAAGGCGCTCTTCTAGTTATCATTTAATTAGTATCTGTAAAACCGTATCTTGAAAGTTTTTTTTTCCTTCCTTTTCTGTGTGCATAAACTAAATTAAAACATTTTTTGTTAGATATTGGTGAACATTCTTCTTCCCCCAACATTCTAAAGAGAGAGCTTCACTCCTAGTGAAGGTGCTGGCACTTTGAGCTTCTGGTTCTTTAAACTGGCAGCTCCCAGACTCATTTCTTGGCCTCTTCTGGGCTTTGATTAGTTCTAGGAGTTACTTGATTAATCTTCTACCATGGTTGCTCTTGGTGCTTTTCTACCTGATCATGGCTCAGTGGTAGTATAGGCAGAGTAAGACACAAAGCTCCAGCTGTCCCAGATTTTATCTGGGGCAGCATTCATCTGTTCACCCTAGTGAAATCAAATTAAAAAGTTGAGCATCAAAAGCAGCCCTGATGGAAGAAGAATCAAGGCAACTAAATTATTTTTTATTGTTGTATTTTTTATTATCTTCTTTTGTTGGTGCATTCTAATTGTACAGAATAGTGGGATTTGTTTTTACATATTTGTATGTGTATACAATATAACAATGCAATTTGGTCAGTTTTGTTTCCCAATTCCTCCCTCTCTCTCCTTTCCTCCCTCTTACTGGTTCCCTTCCTCTATTCTACTGGTCTCCTTTCCATTTTCATGAGATCCCCCTCTCCTGCCCCACCTACCACTCACTGCTTTTATTTTTTTGCTCTAACTTCCACATGAGATAAAACACATAAAATTATTTTCTAAAGTACTTATTGACCTTTGACTTTCAGAGTTTAGCTTATTTCACTTATCATAATACTTCCTTCAGCTAAACTCTTGAGCTGTTTATGAGTGTCCCAGATCTTGGCAAGGAATTCTGTGCTCTGTGATGGGGCCAGGGGAAAAGTCAAGGACACAGGCAGAACACATATGGTCACTGAGGTGGCCACTACAATAGGGTTGGCTGCTGACCTGTCATGCTTGGGCACTTTACTAGAGGGAGATGGTGAGAAGCTCTTGTTTTGGAAAGATTATCTCCTAGTCTCTGAGACATCTTTACACTAAGATGAATTGGTATTTAGGCCTCATGTCTAAACATTTAATGGACTGAGAGGATTGTTATGTTGAAGTCTTGAAAAGATAAAATTCCTGATATTTCCATGATTGAAGGGAACTTTGTTGTAAATTTAATATATTATTTTCAAGGTTTCCTGTTGTGATATCTTGTAATCAACTGTTTGATTTATTAATTGCTATTGCTATTTGTAAATATTTAAACTAGAAGCATAGTTTGTCTTAAGTTCTTTGAGAAAAATAATTTTTAAAAGTAAATTGGAATTTGAAAGGAATTAAAAATTTTCTCTAATAAGTTAGTGGTCAGTGATATTAGTAAGTTTTTGTTAACCAGGTTATAGACATTTAATGTAGGCCATATTTTATTTAAAATCTTAGATCCCTCACCACCACCCAAAGATATTTACTGTATGTGGCTGATAATGACGTGCCTAAATATAAGGTTCTCTGTCACTTCCCTTCCTAATATTTAATGCACCATTCATATTCTTTGAATGCACTTTGACATAAGTGACCTTTATCATGAAAATATTGTCACTTTTTGAGTCATGTTACAGTTTTCAAGTCCACATATCATCTTCGTTTTCTTTTATATTGTGGAAATGTGGTATTTATCGTCAAGTCACTGGGTGTTTTGTCCTAAGTCCCAAGTACCTCTTCACTTAATACCTTAGTGGTAGGCTTTGTCAGGTGTTTTATGTTTGTCATCTCTGTAATATAATCACTTATACAGTTGTTTTATGAAGTACTTATTTAAAGGATTATTTTTAATAACAGCTAAGAGAAATAATAACAACCAAGAGTTGCAATTGTTAGATCCTTGCCCTCAGAAAAATTACTGAATTGTGTTAAATTTATTTTTTGCTCGATTGTTCGGTGATCTTTTGGTTAGCAAACATTGGTTGAGGTAATGTGAGGACACATTAGAATAGGACAAGAAGGACTTTGAAGATAAAGTCCCACATTCAAGAGTCATAATTTGACAGATGTAAGGACTAGATATAAAGTGACTCCTCTTTTTGGAGGCATGATTTATTTTTATTTCTATTTTTTTATTTTGAGATAGGGTCTTGTTAAGTTGTTCAGGTCAGCTTTTTGAGCTGCTGGGATTACAGGTGTGCGCCACTGCACCCAACTGAGGCATGATTTTTGAGAAAAAAGATTTTTTCCCTCCAGTTTTCTGAATTTGATTTTTCTGAATATAAACTTCAAATGACTTAATTTAATGCTTAGTTTGGAAAAAGTAATTAAATAATGAAAACATCCTACTTATAGCATTTATATCATATAATCTGATGGCATTACTTAACCCAGAAAGATCTTTGTATATTGTTTTAGGTTGGGAATGGTTTATATCTTTTCTTTTTTTTTTTTAAATTTTTAATACTTATTTATTAGTTTTCGGCAGACACAACATCTTTGTTTATATGTGGTGCTGAGGATCGAACCCGGGCCACATGCATGCCAGGCGAGCGCGATACGCGCTTGAGCCACATCCCAGCCCCTATATCTTTTCTTTTTAGTGGTTCTGGTTGTGGTTGTAGGGGTCGTTCTTAATCTACATTATTGATTTTGTTTTCTCTTTCTAGTAGAACACTTTACTTTGGGAGATGTCAACCTCCTAACTTCTCAGTTTTAGAATTCTAGAAGTTTAAAGGATTGTATTTGTGAAAACAGCATCAGCACTGAGATTATTCATAAAGATTGCTAATAAAGAAAATTTAATGCATCAAATTTTAAATGTCAGTAAAAATGGGAAACTAAAACTTTACAGAATTTCTATAAACTATCTCCTCTCCTTCCTTTCTAAATATGATTGGTATCAAAACTGGATCACTGTGTACATAGAGGGGCTCTTCATCCATTATCTCATTGAACAAGCAATAAGCTGCTTCCACATGGAGAGAATGCAGCCTCCTCTACTGCTCCTTCCACTCTTTCACACGTGGTGGTACTGATTGGACCTCCTCTTGAACCTCTTCTTAAGTTTATAGCTCACTGGTTTATTATGACATAGACTTGCCAATATTAGAATATTTAGGTACAGGTTGGCCTCCTTTATTGGACTAGAAACCCATTGAGTACAAGGGAGTTTCTTGCTTATCTCTGACTGTTAGCTCTGCAGCTCAGGCCTACTTCTCATCCATACTCGAACAGGTTATGATGAAATCAGTGCTTAAATGCTACTTTCCCCCTCACTCAAGGAGTTCATAGGTTAATGGAAGAGGTCTTTGAGAATACTAGAGCAGGAAGTGATACTAAAGCATGCAGACTTTGTGTAGGTAATAGAGAGGCCATGAAGCATGTGGAATGTATTTCTTAGACATAACAATCAGGAGTATGTCAAGGCACTGTATAACACGGTTGCTGTGCATTCAGATACACTAGTTAGACATTCAACAGACAACCCATGTGTTTCAGTTCTATTAATTACAAACCCCCTACAAGATATTTTCTTTAAAGTGCAGGAGTTGAAAGAAATGAAAAATGAGCATACTTGGATTTTTGGGGGGCAGTGAAGAAAACAATTTTTAAAATTCTCCTTTAGGATTCTTTTTCAGGTTCAGCTCAGAGCATTAGGGCTTTGCAGGGATCATGTGGCTTCTTATGCCATAGGTGCTGTTTTTTTCTTTGTCTATTTCCTTAGAAATGTAACACTTTCAATCTCTTTGCTTTCAAAAGAGTGTCTTGTTAAGAAACTGAGGCTATGTTTCTTCAGTGCTTTTGCATTGCCAAGTTTCATTCTTTTTTTTTTTTTTTTTGCCTCTAAGTGAAATGAAAACATTTCTATCACAATATCCTGACAGCCTTTTAATGCTAATGGTCTACTTTTATGATTAAAAAAAGTTGTAGTTTTTTCAAGAATAAATAAAGATTTTAAGTAAAATTTTGAGGGTAAAGCTTCTATGTATTTATTTTTTTACATTGTGCAATTGTATTTAGTGAAGCCAGCAGGTGGCAGTATAATGTATAAAATAAAAGGATTTCCAATGGGTATAAGGCTTCTTTTCATATGAAAATGTTATTTTGCATATTAGGGAATTCAAATTACATTAACATTCTTTTTATATCTTGTCATCTTGTTGAATATATTATAATTATTATTTTGTTGGAATTTCTTTTTTTTAATTCTTTTTAGGTATATATGACAGTAGAGTATATTTTGACATATTATCCATACATGGAGTATAACTTATTCAAATTAATCCCATTCCCATTCTCATGGTGGTACATCATGTGGTGGAATTTCTTTTTAATTGTATACTTAGTACCTTTTTAAAAAAGTTGAGATTGCTGATTTTAAGGGAATTGAGGGATTTGGAGAGGGAAACTCACAACTCTCTCAGTGGGGTCTTCTATAGTAGTAGCATATAAAGATGTAAATAAAGCCAGGATGGGAATTTCTGGCATTTAAGTACTTTTCTAGAGGTGGGGAGATGGGAATAGGCATCAGATTACTTGCCACCAATAGTATCCCAGCCATGCAAGAATGTGACTGGTTTTCAAGGTAATACTAAGTAACTGAATTAATTATTACTAAAAATATTAATAAACACTGTTTGACAAGTTTGGTGTATATTTATAAGGAGGAATAATGAGTACAGTATTTCATTATTATTCATTATTTCATTAATATTCAGTTATGGCACTAACCTATCATTAAGTATGTTTCTGTATTCCTCCCCTAGGGTTCTCTAAATGCCATGTGGTATGCAGAGGTTGGTTGCTTTTGAGTTTTTTAAAACTGTAATACTGCATCAAATCCTTGTCTAATTTGTTGGAATAAAAAGTAGTTGTCAATATTTTTCTTAGCTCCTAAAAATTTCTCCTTGCCTGCTGGTCTGAAATAAAATACCTGCATCATGCTTTAGCTTGATCATTTTAATTTTTGCTTAAGTGCAATAGTCTGATGACTGTATGTGGCTATTTTCACCTTCTTTTCTCCTTGGTCCCTGACTGTATTTGTGCAGTGTTTTGCTACTTTGTGATATTTATAAAGCAGCATTTACTATAATGGATGTTGTCTGAATCTCCTGCATAGGTTAAAGAACTCCGAGAGAAGGCTGAGTTTTATAGGAAACGAATTCAGGGAACACATTTTTCTCGGGACCACCTGAATCAGATTCTGTCTGATAAAAACTGCTGTTGGGATGTCTCCTCAACCACAAGCTCGGAGGGAACCATTAGTAGCAATATCAAAGCCTTAGATCTTGCAGGGTGAGATTTCTTTGTGGTTGTTGAAAAAGTATGTTGTAGCTTATATGAATCATGGAGTGATATAGGAAGATGGCATGCCTACTCAAAATTTATCTTTTGGTCAAATGAAAAAATGTCCCACTTATTTCATTATTTTAAACTTATTTTCTGTGTAAAAACAAAGATCTATACACATACATATCTATACACACACATACACACATATATACACATACATATATATATACACACATACTTGATTTAAGTATTTGCATATAAATAATACATAATGTAATTCTGGAAGGCTGGATTATATAATATTCTTTGTCATAATTTATAGCAGAATTAGAATGATTATATGTCAGATGTAAAAGGACTTTAGAAATTATAAAAAAGAAAGAGGCAACAACAATAAAGACTCAAGACAATATAAATCTATTAGTACATGTTCATTATCATTCTTTAATGGATTTTGTGGCTACTATGGAGATTGGCCCCTGATATCATGGAAGAATTCTTTGTTTTAGGTTTTAAAATGAACATGATTTAATTGTTTGCCAGAGAAACTACATTTTGATTTATAGTAAATAAAATAGTTTTTAGTTATTACAGTATATCAATATAATCATGTACACCAAATTAATCTATAATTTTGAATTGTACTATATTTGGCTTAAAAATGTATCACAAAATCTAGTCTTTAATAATGTATTGAAAAGGTAAATTTAAAATATAAAATTTGGATTGGTGTATTTGGTCCCAAGTATACTTGAATTTGTGTATAACATCAATTTATTAACTGAGCAAGTCAACTTGAGATATAGTAACTTTCATTTATATTCTATGAAATGAACTTTTAATTAGAAATTTTTGTTCAATACCTAGACAAGGCAATATTTGTGGAAAACATATAGCTGTAAACAGTGGAAGGAAATGATGAGCTCAATATAATTAGTATTAACTGGAAAGCTCAAGTTACTCGAATTTAAAACAAAGCTTATTTTGTTATACAGAGATCCTACAAGTCATAAGACTTTGCAGAAGTGTCCTGGTACAAAACCAGAAGAAAAAAGAGACATCTTGGAAGAACAGCCCCAGAAAAATACCATGGAGGAAATGGGCATGTCAGATGCTCCCACCATGCCTGTTAGAAGGCGGCTGGCTTGGGACGCAGAGAATACTGGTGAAGACATAGAGAAACAGCCCAGCGGGGAGAAAGAACAGGAAGAGGAAAGGGGAAGAGACAAACAGGTATATATGGGAGAGCCAGAGAAGATGGAAGTGCACGAGGCATCTAAGGCAGACAAGATAAAAGAAGGGTGAGAGTTTTAAATTTATCAATGTATAGAATATTATACATGACTAATATGTATTTGATTTGTTACTAAGTATAATAAATATAAAATATACTTTATGTATACTATAAAATAAATATAAATATACTATAAAATATACTATAAATTTAAAATATATTTTAAATTTGTGACTAATAAAAAGCAGATTTTACTTTAATGTCACCAAGTATTCACTGCTATGTTGTTTATAATTTGATTCACTCAGATATTTTAGTCACCACTAATTGGTAATTGAACACTTAAAACTCTGGACTCCTTGTGGAAAAAGTAGGATTATTTTTATTTGTGTCCTGGAGTTATGATTTGTAATATTAGCAAATGTGCCTGGAAGAACGACTTTTTTGTTTTAGGTAAAAAGTGCATGTTAACTAATATCTGATGGTAGTACCAAAAAAAAAAAAAAAAAGAAAGGATAATGTTTTATAGAATTTTTAAAAAAGTGATTTCTGAAATGTGCTAATTCCTGTTGTTTTACATGAAAATTGTTTAGGAGATTGGTTCTGCACCATTGGTAGTGGTGCTTTTTGTCTTTAGTCCAAAGCCCTTATTCCTTTGTGGGTGTTGCAGCTAGTGTGGGGCCTGGAGCCTGATTTAATTGAAGAGTTCTCAGCTGTGTTGTTGCTGACTTGCAGTGATTCCCCCACCCTTTTCTAGTATTCAGTCCTTTTAACTGCATATGGACTTGTTATTTTTTCAGAAACAAAATGGCCTTCTCTTACGTTTTGTATTTTATTGTTGCACAATGCTGGTATAGTATTTTTAAAATCATATTTTCCAGAGAAAATGCTTCCTAATAGATTGTTCCAATTTGTAGGTCAGGTTCTTCTGTATGCTCAGGAAATGGAGGTAGGCTTCCTACTCCAAAGCTGAGAGAACTTGGTGGAATCCAACGGACTCATCATGATCTTACTACTCCAGCTGTTGGTAATAGGCAAACACTATGCAGTTCTCATTTCCCTACATTTTCTAAATGATAAGATAGTTTAATTGAAACCTGTCTTCTGCATTTTTCCAGGTGGAGCTGTTTTAGTGTCCCCATCTAAAGTGAAGTCTCTAGTCCCAGAGCAGAGGAGAAAAATGTCCTCTCAGGATTGTTTAGAAACTTTGAAGAATGATTTTACTAAGGTAAATATTTATATTTAATTTATATTTAAGAACATCTCTTGTATCTTGTAGCAGATTATTTTTGTCACATATAATAAGTGAATATAGGCATTGAGTGGTTTTTTTTTTTTTTTTTTGGTTGCTGCATTGTTGCTGATATGCTTTCAAATCTTAGTAGTGACTCAACAGGAAGAAAGATAAGAAAAACAAAACTATTTATTGAGCACCAACTGTGTGGCAGTTATATTCCCACTATGTTCTAGGCGCTGTTTTAGTATTGGAGATATATCAGTGAAAAACAGCAAAAATCCTGCCCTCATTGAATTTATGTGCTAGTGGAAGAGAGAGACAATAAACAAGATAGCTAGGTAAAATACATAAGTAGTGATAAAGGCTAAGGAGAAAAATAAAGCAGGGGAAGTGAATGGGAAGTGGCCAGGGAGGTCTTCCCTGAGAAGGTAGCATTGGAGCAAAATGTGAAGAAGGTCAGGGGTTGACTTGTAAATATCTAGAGAGGAATTCTAGGCAATGAGAACAACAAGTGCAAAGTCTAGAGGTAAAAAGATGCCCGATTCCTAAGGCCAGCCAGGAGGTCATGTGACTGAACAGAGTAGTTCAGAGACACAATGGCATGCTAAAATGTGTAGGACCTTATAGCTCATAGGAAAGACCTTGAGTTTTATTCTCGTGAGATGAAAAACTATTGAAAGGTTTAAGAGTGATATGATTTACCTTAATTTTTCCAAAGTCACTCTAGCCACTGTGTGGAAAATAGATAGTAGGGGTGCAAGGGCAGATGTGTGAAACCTATTAGTACTTAATTACCATGTCCAGGCAAGAGGTGATGGTTGTTTGGATCACGGTGTAGCAATGAAGGTCATATGATGACGTTCAATTCTGGATATAGATTGAAGGTACAGCTGACAAGAATTGCTGACAGATCACATGTGCAGTGGGAGAAAGAGAAGAATCAAGGAAGAGCCAGGATTTCTGGTCTAGAAATAGGATGGAATTGCCAATTAACTGAGGTAGGGAAGACTATGAGGAAAAGATTTGTCAGGAAAGCGTAAGAGTTGGAACATGCTGGAACATGTGAAATTTGAGAGTTTATTAGTTACACAAGTAGGCATGTATCTGCAAGTTGGACTGCAGATACAGATTTGAGGCTCTTTATCATATAGGTGGTATAGGTATTTAAAATCCGAGACTGGAGATCATCAAGGGAGTGGTCATAGACAGAAAAAAGCAGGCGATATTGGGAGGTTAAGAAATAACCAGCAGAGGAACAGCCAGTGAGGTGATGAAAGAGAGGAGCCTGGTATCCTGAAGATATCAAGGAGGCAGTGTCAGTGCCACTGATAAGTCAATAAAGTGTAAAAATTGATTATTGGCTTTTGCAACTTGGAGGTCATTAATGACCTTGATAAAGGGCAGATTTGGGCAGAGGAGGGACAAAAACTTAAATGTAAATTGGTTGAAGAGAAAGATGAGGAGAGGGATTGGAGATAGCTATCACAGACAGTCCTTTCAAGAGGTTTTTTCCAAAAAGGAAGCAGGATAATAGAATGTAGATTTAAGAAGTGAGGTGGAGATTGGAAAGGTAGCAGCATGTTTGTATGTTGATGACTATAATTCTGAAGACAGAGAAGATTAGCAAAGCAGGAGTATGGGGAAAATTGTTCAAAGATGCTGAGTAGGAGAAAAGGCTTGGGATCTGGTGGGGACTTTGAAGGGTTGGTCTTGGGCAGTCTGACATTCCTTCGTTGTTAGAAGAAGGGAAGCAGAATTCCTGTGCACTGCTAACGAACATAGGAAGATGTGAAGGAGCTTTTGGAGAGAGTCTTCTGATTGTTTCTTGATGATGTATAAAGGAATATCCTTGCTGTGAATGAGGCTGGGGAGGAAAATGTTGGAGATTTGAAAAGGAAGGAGTCATAAAATAGACTTATCAGAGAATAGGAAAGCAATGGGAAATGTGGAACATGGAAGGCAGTGGTAAAGTCTGTTGTAGATTAGTGGTCACAAATTTGATATAAAACAAATGGGATAGGTTGTGTGTTTTTCTCCAGGCATATTTTTGGTTGCAGAGATGAAGGATAGGTAGAGTTGGATTTAATTACTACTTGTAAACATGTTTTGTTAAGGGAAAAAAGTGAGAAACAGGCTAAGGGAATTATAGTGTGTGTAGGGAAGTGATTTATGATAATTGACTGTGGAAGTCATTAGGCAGGACAGCAGAAGGTAACTCGACAATGCAAACATTGCAGGATCAATGGGAGGAAGGTCTTCATAGCCTTAAACACTTGTTAGAATTGGGGTACTTGTGGAGATTAGTTTTAAAGTTAGGAGGTGTGTTGGTTAGGAGTTAAGATTATGAAGAGGTTGCAGTTACCAGTAATGACAAGGTTTCACATATATTCATGGGTTAAAGTAGAATAGAAAACATTCAGAGAAAGGATTGAAAATCTGTGTGTGATTTTGTTAATGGCTTTTCATGAGTTCCAGAGTACACAGTAGGACTTTTTAGGGGTTTCAGGGAGAGGTGGGGGAGTGTATCAGAGGTCCTCTTAACCCCACTGCTCAGAATAGAGGCCAGCTCATAGCCACTACTTATTATATACATGGTGAATGAATATCATTTGGGTGATAGAATATCTGAACTATTTCTTGTTGCTTATGCATGTATTGGTTTCTTAAATGAAATGTGACAATAGGAGGATAGTCAGAGGATTGATCAGAATAAAATGCTGACGATCACTTGCCCCCATGGACTGTTCTGCCCCCTCCTCAGAAGTCCAGGCTGCCACCTGGAAGGTGTAAGCTTTAGGCAGCTGGGCACACAAGACTTAGCCACAGTGGGTGGACATAATTTGTTGTTTGCAGTGGATTTGTATGTATTATTTTTACTTATTGTGGAATTAAGTTTTTGAATAATATAAATAGACTAATAATGTCCTTTGACATTTTAATGCCAATCTCTACCTCAGAGGGTACACTATGCAATTATAACATTTGAATTCAAACTTTTCTGAAACAAGCATATTTTTTACTCATAACTTGATTAGAAATCTCTGCCACCAGAATTTTCTGTCACAAGTAGCATCAGGGCTGGACTAGGAACTAGATGTGGTTATTTCTTATTTTCTATCCCTTGGTTGCTGTTGGTAGAATTGTTAAACTTGAGTCATTAAACTTGATATGCCAAATCAGTTTTTTTCTTTATTTTCTTATAAAAACTATTGTTATGTATGAAATTAAACCCATAGTCTTTTAGTTTCTAATGAATTATTCCCATTACTTAATTACATTTGATTAATAGCACCTTATATCTCTTTTTGCTGTAGGAATTAGACTAAATCATAATATTCAGGAACTTTTTCACCATTAACTTTTAATCACATACCTTAAATTGTGTAGAAATTATATGGTAGCAACAATTAGGGTGACTTTCACCTTACATGTATAAACTTGGGGAGGTGAGTGTTTTAATGCTCAATTAGACAATAAAACTGAGGTCACATGGTTGTCATGTGGAGGAATAGAATTGGATTTTGGTTGGTCTATCCTCAGAGCTTGTGATTTTAATCCTTAAACATAACTGTCTCACAAAATTTTATAGAGTTCTCATGATATTGGTTTGGTCCTCAGGTAGCATTTTCAGATTTTATAAATGATATTAAAAACCCAGATGTGTGTTACTTTCTTTATTCAGCAGGAGTTGCTTCTCCATTTATACACATGCTAGATAGCATGGCTGTAACGCCAATAAGGACAGATATGATACAAGACCTTGTGGAACCTATGGTTTTGTGAGGAGACAAATAATCAGTCATACCCCCCAAAAGATTAGAAATTAAAACTAATTTGGGCTTCAAACTCTGAAATATATAGTGCTGTTCTGGAAGGAATTGACCTGATCATGGAAGTCAGGAAGCATCTTCAAAGTCAAGGATGCCTCTTAGAAGAAATCATAATTCACCTGAGATAAAGAGGCAGTGGAAGCCCTAACTGCATACAAAGGGTGGGGAGGAAGAACATAGCATGTACCAAAATCTGTAGATAAAAAGAACATAGGGTTTTAAGAAATAAGGACCAGTGCATTGTGTGGTGGGGAGCATGGTAGATCATGAGGCTAGAAAAGATAGCAGCATTAAAAATTTCTTACTATCTCAAGAGCAATGGGAAGCCATCAAAATATTTTAAATAATGGAGTACTGTGATTGATTATATTTTGCAAGTTCTTGGTGGTTATCCTAGGAAGCAAGAGTAGACTGGAGTTCTTTTAAAGTCCATTGTGGTAGTCCAAGTAGGGGATGTTGTTGGGATGTCTTGGGCTAATGAGAACAGGCCTGGATAGAAGTGGATGAAACTGAAGAAGTGGAAGAAACTGTGTGAGGGGAACAGTGCCAAGCCTTGATGCTGGGTTAGGTGATGGGGAATGAAAGACCGTGGAGGACTTCTAAGTCTCTGGCTTTCTGACAGGATTGATGGGGGCTTTGCACTAAGAGAACTCTGGACAAGGACTCTATTTGGAGGGGAATATCAGGAGTTACATTTTTATTCACTCAATTCCATATTCATTGGCTCTAACTTAGGTGCTAGGCACTGTTCTGAGGGCTGGAGCTCCTTGATTATCAAGACAGAATCTCTGTCTTCATGCAGCTTCCATTTTCACTGGGAGAAACATATATAATTTCTTTAGGAAGATAAGTTTGCATAGTAGGAAGTGCTGTGAATTAAACAATAACTTCAGATGACCTCCAATGGATGGGTGAGGCTATCAGGATAGGCACGCCCAAGAGGTAACTAGCTAAGAAGGACTAATGAGGAAGGTTGTCCCTACAGGGATCTGAGGCAGAGATTGTTTTCCAAGTAGGAAGACTAGCAAGTGCAAGTGTCCTTACCTGGGGCTGAGTTTTTTTTTTCTTTTTTAAAGAAAAAAAATGATATTTTTAGTGTTTCTGTATGATTAAAAATGTAGGAGACAAAATCCAAAACTTTTTACAATGAAAACAAAATCACTTGCTGTTGAAAAGCAATTTCATCCCATAAAGTTAATTGCATTCACAAAGTTGGAAGAGGGGGGTCAGAATGCATCATTAAATAAATGACACTACTTTAGCAGGTTCCAAACTCAAAAGATTTCTTAAACATTCTGAACAATCATAACATTAATTATATGATATGCTAGCAATATGAAAAATAACCTAAGTTGCCTTTGCCTTTTGTCTTAGTACCAAATTTTATTTGAGGAAAGAACGTTGAAAACTATAACTTTGACTGTGAGTTGAGGATAATTGATATTTATTACAATATTTTGAGATAAAGAGAATAGAATTGATTAGACCTTGTACATCTGTGTTACTTGTAGAAATTAAAAAGTTTACCACCTATAAAAATTTCAGTTTTGTCATATGCTCATTGGAAAGTAAGTATACATTTTAAGGTTATTTTAATTCCCAAGAGGTAAAATTAAGCTGCTCATGTACTCTACAAGGCATGATTTTGTTTTCTTAAAGCAGTTGTACTTAGAAGTCATGTTAATTTTTTGTTCATTTATACAGAAAGGAAATGAAGCAAAGAGCAGTAAAATTATGACCTTGTTAATTTATAATATTGCTTACTTTTTAGCTAGAAGAGTGAGGCACACATTTTTAAACAGTGAAATGGCCCTGTGGCTGGAGCCCAAACAGGGAAGAGGAGAGGGTAGGAAATGAAGCTGGAAAGGGAAGTGGAGTAAGGAATTTGAATGTTTCTCTGATAACACTGGGGAGCCCTTGGAGATCTGTAGCAGCAAAGCAAATAGGACCTGATTTACAGGGTAAATCAACTCACCCTGGCTACTCACTGGAGAACTATTGTACACACGGAAAAGTGGAAGCACTGAGACCAGTAAGGAACTGTAGACTCAAAAACAGATCATTTCATTACTCATATTTAACTCAAGAACCCTAAGCATTCAAATTATTTTCAGATTTTCTTTAATAATATAAAACTGATTTGATAAATAATCTAAACTTTGCTGATATGTAATAAATGAAAAAAAGAACAATTTCCCTTTAGAGTTATTTTTATTATGTTAAGTGATATAGTTAAAAAGATAAGCAAGTGGGAGATTGTGGTTTTATCCTAGGTCTTGATTTAAATATGTTTGTTGGTTGATACTTCGTGCTATCTCCACTTTGAATCTCCAATTGCAGCATATGATACCTGAGGTTAAAAAGCAGTGTTTTGAATGTTGCATTTATAGATTCAAAGCTAATAATGAAGGCAACATTTAAGGAATGATCAGGAAAGTTTGGAAAGTTTCTCTTAAAAAGTAAAATCATCAGGATTTTAGGATAATGATACATTGTCATTGTGGAACAGAAAATACTAGACCAAATCATAAAAGAAAATAAATAGTCTCACCCTTGTTCTCTGGGGATATTCACTATTAAATTTTTGAGGTATACAGCTGTATGTGTATATGTTAATCTAGTTTTTCTTACTTAGCCCTGTATTGTGAACATATTTTCATACCATTCAAAGTCACTAATATCTTATTTTTAATGGCAATATAGTATACAATATATAGTTTACTATAATTTTTAAACTAGGTTTTGTTGAAAATTAATTTTTATTCAGATTTCTATTTCTTAATTTTTCTATTTTGAAAAAATGCTATAAAGAAGCCCATCCTGGGCTGGGGGTCCTAGCTAAGTGGAAGAGCGCTTGCCTGCCATGTGTGAGGTACTGGGTTTGATTCTCAGCATCGAATATAAATAAAGGTCCATTGACAACTAAAAAAAATTTATAAAAAAGAAAGAAATCCATCCTTTGGCTACCTTTTTGTTCATATTGTTCTCTTTGTTTTTGTAAATATTTACTCCCCAAGTATTACTGCACATGAAAGGACACAAGATTTTAAGGCTTTTGCTGTGTTTTACAAAAACATCCCAGAAAGATTATGCTCAGTCTGTCTATGGAAAATGCCAATTTTCCCATATCATTGCCTACTCTGGGTATTATTGCTTTTTTTTTTTAATGAATTTTTACTGTTTGGTAAGCAAATAATTGGTATCTCACCAGAAAATTTATCTTATTTTATTTTTGCTGTGAATAGGTATTGGAAAAGATAGAAATTTTAAATAAAATACCAACTGAATCTAAGAACTTGTTAAAAACAATACAATATCTTTAAGTAGGTAGGGCTTATTCCATAAATGAAAAGATTTTTCAACATCAGAAAAATCTTTTGATTAAATTCATTATGTTAATAGACTAACTTTGAGGGAAGAAATTGATAAATTTCAAAACCTAATTTTATGTTTAAAACACTTATAAGGAAAATGGAAATAACAAGGTAAGTTACTTATAGCAACCATTACCTTTAAAACAAAAAGTTTAGATCATTCTCATTAAATTCAGCATATTGAGTAAACATTAGCATGGTATTTGAATTTTTCATATCTTGTTTTATACAAGAAAATGCCAGGTTTATGGGTTTTGAGGGAGAAATAAAAAAATTAGTATCTCAATGCATTCATTTTATAATGTTTTGAACATTAACAAAGTAGAATATGTTTGCTATATTTTTGTATATGAATTGCTTATTCATGTTCTTTTTGTACTTTTTATTTAGGCTTATCTTTTTCGTAGTACTTTACATATTATATAGCAGTAATAACTCATTGTCAATCATACAAGTTATATATTTTCCTCAAGTTTGACATTTTTTCTTTTGATTTTTAATGTATATATTTTTTTGTTTTTATACAACCAAATCATTGATTGATATTGGATGTTATACTTATAGAATTTTCTTTCCATGGAGATGACATAGAATGTCCCCTGTTTTCTACTGTTAGTTTTATGGTCATTCAGTTTAACTTTGAGTTCCTGGTTTCTTTAGCTGTATATGAATATATGTGTATGTATCTTTTCTTTTTTTTGGTGTTTAGAAAGGAAGTCGTGCTCTATCCCTACTGACTTCTCCTGCTGCTGGTATAAAAACAATTGATCCTCTGCCTTTGCGGGAAGATTCTGAAACTAATCTCCCTAAATTTGCTGAGACAGCACTTCCGGTTTCAAAAACTCCAGAATATCCCACAAACACTCCCAGACAGTTGCCTTCTCCAATGGGTGTTCCCTCCTACTGGCATCCTGCTCGTCGAATTCAGGGCTCCCTGAGAGATCCAGAATTTCAGCATAATGGTAATTATTTTGGTTTAATTTTTTGCCTTTTAAAATGAAAGTGGCACAGAGAGATAAAATGCTATAAGTGTGTACTACATATATATATATCATATATCATGATATTTAGCTAACATGATATCATATATCACGATATTTAGCTTTTTTTTTTTTTAAATAGGAAAACTCTCTTTAGGACAGTGGGTTATGATGCACTTAAGTTCAGTTTTTACTTTTATATATAAGTGTGAGTTGTGTCTTAAGTTCTTACTCATACATATGTGGGTAACCTTCCAGATACTAGTAGCCCCTCTCCTCCAGGCTTGATGGCCTAGATGTAGAATTTAAGACCAGAAATTGTTTTTCTTTAGTATTGTTAGGGATTGCTCTGTTGTTTTCTGGCCTCCACTGTCACTCTTGAGAAGTCTCATGCTGTTTTCAGTCTTCGTCTTTTGCATGTGCCATTTTCTTTTCTGGTAGCGTTTGGAATCTTCTCTTTACACCCAAATGCCCTGTGAGTCCACAATGCTGTGTGTTGAAGGGGTCTCTTTATTCATTTTACTGGTATTTTGTAGGTCTTTCAGTCTGGAAAATTCTTAATATGAGGAAATTTTCTTAGATAGTAATTTCCTTCCCTTCATTTTCTCTTTCTGGCACCTGTTATTCAGATATTGGACATGATTTTTTCTTTTCTTTTCTCTCTTCTTTCTCCTCCTATTTTCTGTCTTTTTGTTTTAACTTGGTTTTTATCATTTACTTCCCTCTGTTTTTTAAAAAAATCGCTATAATATTTTTAATTTCTAAGAACTTTTTTTTAATGCTGTAAACTCATTTTATATGGTATCCCATTCTTACTTCATGGAGGGAATGTTTTATCTATTTGAAGAGACAGTTTTTAAAATATAAATATTTATGTGGTTATATGTGTATAAAATCCTGTTTTGACTATGGCACCCTTGGTCTCAGGGTATCTGATGAGCCTTTGGAGACAAAACCTCCATTTATTCTTTTAGGAGAGAAATATTTATGTCACTATGTAAGTTTTAAGAAGAACCTAAGGGGGTCCAGCTGTTTTGCAAAAGACTTTTAACCTGTTTCCTGGTTCATCTGGCCTTCACTACAGCTTGTTGTGAGACTCAGTACTCCCAAACCCCACACCATGAGGGGCAGAAAATGGTTGCTTCTTGTTTCACTCCTCTGCTGGCTTAAGAATTCAACTTGCTTGAACTACACACCTCATTCCCCTTTGATTTGCCTTCCACTTTCCAAAATTTTGTTGCTGTTTTCTTGTCTTACATGTCTTTGTCCTCTGGGTTTATGTCATTTTTATAAATGTGTATATCCAGTCATGTCTAAACAGGAGCCTACTATGTTTATTTAATGTTAGATCATCAGTATTACTGAAAAGAATTCTAGGAAGTTATTCATAGTTTGTTTTTATACTTGCAGTGTACAATATATATTAATGAGGGCTCTTTGATAGTAATTTCTACTGAAATATAAAACTTAATAAAATTTCTGATCATCTACTTTCTTTAAGGGTTTACTGTAATGTCTTAGTTTGTTTTGTGCTGCTCTGTTAGAAAACATGACACTGAGTAATTTATCATGAACAGAAATTTATTGACTCATGGTTCTGGAGGCTGGGAAATGCAAGCTAGAGGAACCGTCATTTGGTAAGGGCCTTCTTGCTGCATCATCCTGTGGCAAAGGGCAAAGAGGAGGCAGGAGAAAAAGGAAAAGGGAGCAAACACTCCACTTCTGGGCCAATGGCATCAGTCTGTTCTTGAAGGTGGATCCTAAACAGCTCTGGAAGGTCCCACCTCCTCATGGCATCTCAATGGCAATTCACTCCTGACATGAATTTTGGAAGAGACAGACATGATGTTTGGTGATTTTGAAGGATAAATTCTTGTGCTTTTCTTTTTCTTTCTCTCTCTCTCTCTTTTTTTTTTTTTTTTAAGCGGGGAAAGCAAGGATGGATGATTTCCAGTTACCTCAACATGAAGGCTTTCATGATGAAGGTATTTCAATCTCATAACATATAAGATAAAAATACAGGTTCTTTTATATGATAGTTTATATATTCGATTAGCACTTTACTGCCTACAAAGTATTTCCACAGATGTTTCTTTCATTAGATTCTTGAAACAGTGTTGAGGATGAAATTATCCCCTTTTTACAAATAAGTAACAGGGGTCAAGTGGTGAATAGTATTCTTTATGGCAAACAGGTGATAAGAGGTTGCACCTTACACACAGCAGGTGCTCTTTCTGTTCTTCTACTCTGTCTAGCTCTGGACTTTGGAATTTGGTCTAGTATTACATCCATATTTTTTCAAATGCCTGCATATTGTCAATTTTCAGTTCTTGAAAAATATTTATATCACTAGGGAAAATGGACTTTTTTCTCCCTGTGCAGTTTCCATTCTGACGGATTCATTGGCAGGAAGAATTTTGAATCCTTAGGTGAACAATTGAAATCATTGTATTGATTCATCCTAAGAAGTGTGGAATAACTGAATTTGTAAATTTTGAATTGGGAAATAAATTTGAACTTAATACATTATATTTTAGATTACATATGTTAAAGTTTTTTCTTCCTTTAGTAATTTTGAAACTTTTTTTTTTTAGTTATTTATGAGCTAGAAATCAAATAGTTATGTTTTAAAATGCAAAATATTTGGCAACTTTGAATCACATTATCTTTTTTTTTTTAATAGAGAACAGTGCTTATAAATAAACATTATAGATTTGCTTACTCAGAAATGAGGAATTTCAGCAATGAGGAAGAATATTCAAACATTATTTCTGTACTTAGTGAGATTGTTTTAGAAATACGATATAAGAATGATGTTAATATATGGCTTTTGATTTTAAAAAAGTTAATTTTTTTTTTTTGCCCCAAATAGCTGTGCTTTTGAAAGTAGGACAAAACGGTGTCATGATGAATTGTTTCCAAGTAATACTGAAATCATTGGCTGTGTTTAATTAATGACATTATGGGATTTCAGGAAAGGGAAAAAAAATGCTCATTTCAGATTAAAATGTTTGATATCTATGTAAGATAAATTTGGAGAATTACCATGAAAATGTTAAAATCTTACATTTAATAGATTACTATTTTTTTTCTGATAGACCCAACATTGATATAATTATAAGCCTCGATGTTTTTAATTTTCTGTTAATGTTATATAAAACATCATATTTATTCAGGAGGTATTTTTGTACAGAACATAATCATGGGATTTTTTTTTTTCATTTACAGATGAGGACAGATTGTCTGAGATTTCTGCTCGCTCTGCTGCGTCTAGCCTTCGGGCTTTTCAAACTCTGGCACGAGCTCAGAAAAGGAAGGAGAATTTCTGGGGCAAAGCATAAACCTTGTTTTTATCTAGGGAACCACTGGCATAATTTTTCTTTATTGCTCACTGTGTTTAGATTTTTTGAGTATCTGAATTTTCTTCTGACATTTCCAGCTTAAGTGAGTTGATTTGTCAATATTCATTTTACTTGGAAAATTTTAACACGTGCTTATACAAATTTAGCTCTTAAAAATTCTTTTACATCAATCCCAAAATTTGAAGACATAGATTATATAGTTCTTCACATGTTCTGTCATTTGTGTTAGATGTCAAGGATTGCTGGTGAATTATGACTTTCACCCATCCAGAGAATAAGCTAAAGAAATAAAGTGAAAATTAAGATTCCAGTATGGAGTACACATTCCCCTAAGATTGGTTTTATGTGTCTTTATAATTGTAGATGTTGTAAAATGAATTTGTTGTCCTTTTAACTTTTGTTTTAGTGTTTCTATATGTGGTTGCAGTGTTATTTAAGGTAATTGTACTTTGAAAATACCAGCTGTATATATTTTTCTTATTTATATGACAAAGTTTGCTGAGAGAATATGTATATTTTTGATCTTTGTGTGTATTCTATTTGTATAACAACTTTGGCTTACATTTAATAATGTCTGGGTTTTGAAAAATTATTTGTATAATGGAGAATTATAACTTTGTAGACATTTTGAAATAAAAATTGATCAAGTGTGTTTGGCTTCTTCAGAAAGTTAATACATGGAATGAACAACTATCTTTTAGAAATATTCTACTTGTCACAGGTTAATCAAAAGTTTGACTTCTTTCTCAGCTGTCTAAATGTAATGAAGCTGAATCTATAATACATTTTCACAAATGTAGGAAAATTTAGAATTTTCAAAGCAGACTCATTTTTTAAACATTTAACACAGTTTTTTGAATCTATTACTCCACTTACTGGACATGTTCAGTTGTCTTATTTATCTTATAAATCATGATAAATTTAAGTTTCTAAAAATGTGGATTTTATAAAATCTTTACAATATTACATAAAAAGTATGAAAGACAAAATATACAGAATATTAATGTCCATTGGATAGAAAACAGTCTGTTCTAAAGTGCTTAATTTGGTCAAAAGTGCTTTTACAATCGCTGGTTCACAGTAACTTAGTCTTATATTGTGAAGTTGTAAAGAATTGTAGATATACAGATTGCCATCATTACACTAACCTTTTAAAATAATTTGTTTATAAATAAGTTTATCAAGGCATTAAACATGGAATTAAAGCTTGGGCTTGGGAATAGCTGGCTTTGAGAACAAAAATTAGCTTTATACAAATGTTTTCTGAGGGCATAATAGTTGTAATATAAGTTTGGAACTTACTGTCCCTCTAGAAGCTTAAAGGCATCAATCATTTCCTTCCTCCTTAAATGTTGGTTGGTTTGGTTATTTGGGACAATTTTTAATGGCTGACCACTAATACATAGTAAAGAAAGAGATTATAGCTAGATTTCCGTGAACTGCATAATTTGTAGTCTATGTTACAAAAAGTACAGACTGTAATATCTGAGTTTACCCATTACAGTGAATCATGGCACATGAACTTGATCTGCCAGATGTCAATTAGAATAGGAGGCTATGATTCTTCTGGAGCCAATGTTGTGACCTTACTCTGTGTGATGATTTAGTTCTGCAGCAACCTACTGGCCACCTCTTGTCTTAAAACTACCCAGAGGACCAGGGGAGAGAATAGTGTTGAGGGATCATTACTGTTCATCTCTTATACTAGAAGAGCAATATGAATGATAGGAATTTGAGTTGGTGGGTAAATAGTCTAAGTTAAATGAGACCTGTCCCATGAGTTGTGCTAGTATTTAGGAGCTGAGATCACTAATTCAACTTTTATCAGTTATTAAGGCAAGTGTTGATGTATTACAAACTGAAATTATTAAGAAAAATTATAGCTTAATAAGTGTGCACAGCTGTATATATTTGTGAAGCCAACACCACAGTGAAGATATATTTCTATCACCCTTACAGGATCCTCATTTTCCTTAGCAGTCAAATTTGTTCCATCCCTTGTCCCCAAGGCAGTCACTAATCTGTTTTCTGTTGATAATTTTAGTTTGGGAAAAAATTTATATCAATGAAATCGTCTTTTATATCTGTCTTTTACTTAACAGTATTTTTGAAAGTCATTCATGTTTTGGTGTACATGTTCCCTTTTAATTTATTCTTCCCAGTGGTGGACTTTTAGATTGTTTGCAATTTGGAACTCTAATGAATAAAGCTGTTAATTCCTATTTCTATGCAATCCTTTGTGTTGACATAAGATTTCATTTCTCTTTGGGAAATGCCTAGGAAATTCAATCTGTATTCTCTTTTAATATAACTTCTACTTGAGTATATGTATACAGGTACAGTATACTCATATCAATATTATGAACTCATAGCTTGGTCTTTTTGTCTAAATATCTCAAAAGTCAGACTGAGGATGAACATCAAAATCACAATGGGAGGGTTTTCCTGCCCCCATCTTTACCCCAGATGCTGGTATTCTCAGTTTCCTGATTGAGAACCCAGATTAAAATGCACAGATGTACATACATACATGAGAGATTTTGCATGTAAATTTTTTGTCTCATCTATGGATTCCTATAGGAGTCTGAATTCCAAGCTAAGAATTCTGGAAGGATGATGCTGAGAATTAAGGATAAAGAACATGATAATATATGGTAGGAAAAGTTATAATACGAATTAAGCATAAATATTTTATATATGGAAAAACAGACTAAATGATGGGACCAATGTTCTTACTTGAAATTCACCCACACCACCTCTTCTGGTGTGTTTATGCTAAAATTTAAGACCCACCGTGACTCATTTCTCTTGGTTGATTTATCTGGGAATTAAATTCCCACTTTGCCTTCGTGGAAGATAAATATCTTTTCTAGTCAGGAAAGCAGAGAATGTGATCACTGAATTGTTGCACAAATGGATTCAACCAGTGAAAGTAAATTAACATATGAAATAAGTTTATCCTTACATAGAGCAGTGCTGAGGTTGGCTACTTAAGGAGCTCAAGGATAAATTGTTTCTTTGTTGCAGTTTTATATTGATAGACATTCAAAAATATTCTGACTCCTGGAAGTTTATCAAAAGAATAAATATTCTAAAATGGTAGTTATCTAGAAACATTTACATTTGATTCTGGAATATGCTTTTAGTACTAGTACATGTGGTGGGTAGTTGTCATGTTAATGCGCTTTTAGGTGTTTGTCAAACTGCCATAATCACTCCATTTCCCAAGGTGATTTTGTTGTACAAAGGCTACTCTAGGCAAAAGAACAGTCTCTGCCATTGGACAGTAAGGGTCATGCCCCACTGGTCATAGCTTGTGCCTCCAGTTTACCTCATGGATTAAAAGTAGGTCAGTGTCTCTTCAGCTCTGTTTAGTGGATTTTTGGGCTAGTGTTGACCTTGATGTCTAAATGTGTCTTTTTCTTATAATGACTGGAAGCACAGAGACACAGCCCTTGGTTCTTAGGCATAGAGCTAAGCTTCCATAAGTCTCATTTTATGCTTCATTCCCATAAATGTGTTTCAAACATGGGGCAGCTTGCACATGGCAGGTGGAGTGCAAGAGCCATCCTTGAAAGATGGTACCCATTTCTCTTCCACCAAGGACTCTATTCATCGTCATGGCTTTGTTGTGCCCCAGACCTCTATCAGAGCATTTCCTTGGAAATTGAGTGAGAAATGAGGACCTGGGGGAACTGAGCCACCTTTGGAAGTCATAGTCTAAAGCCAATCTGTAGGTAAAATGATATTTGATGAGTTCACATAAATTCAAACCACATATTGGATGATTTAGGTAATGCTGGGAATTATTCGATTCCCCCCTGTATATTCTATACCCAATAGCTTGCTGGAGCTGGCTCATGGGCCCACTGTTAAATATTCAGGGGTTTTGTTGAATCATCAATAGTTTGGCCACAGTGGGAGTATTTACATCACTGAAATCAGCAAGCACTATAATTCAGGGCTGCTCCTGGTTATGCACCACAGACAATTGATAAGCCCATTTCTATAGCCATGGAATCAGTCTCTCTTAATCTTTTGTCTGACAGAGAAAACAATCTACTTCAGAAAGGAAACAAGAGGCAGCTCAAGATAAGTTACCAAAAGAGTTATACCATTTACATCTTTCTTGGCTTATACAAAATATAGTTTGGTTTAGTTTCCTTTCTTGACTGAAATTAACCTAGATTTTTTTTTAAGTCACAAATAGCAGGTAATGAATATATAGAGGGAGACTATCCATGATAGATCTGTGGAACAGCCCTGAGATGGGGCCTAAGAATCGATGTATAATATTCCAGGTAATTCCCAGGTGATTCTGATAGTCAAGTAGTTTAGAAAACATTGACTTTGGGGTTATAATAACCTATGGTTTAATTCCAACTCCTCCTTGAGCAAGTCTGTTGAGCTTCTTGAGCTCGTGTTTCTCATTTTACAGATAAGGAGAATAGCTTACCAATTTAGTTCTAGGATTAAAGAGCATTAAAGTTCTTCAGGTATGCCATTCAAATGTTTACTTAATCCAAAATATTAGTTTTATTATGTTGGGAAATTTTTATTAAAACAACAGTGAACTAAGACTTGTTCTAGTGAGGGTAAGGTTAAATCAAGAAAGCAGAAGCAAAGTGTGGGGAAATCGTGGCTTCTCTCATCACAGACCTCTTTTATGACCTACATTTAGCTCACAGAAGCAGTTTTGGGTAAGGGTGCAGACATTATCTATTTCCTTTATGTGGTGAAGCAAAAAAGATTCTGGCTGCTCTGTTGTGACTCAGCGATTCTAGAAGGTGGAATCAATTACCTGATATATGCTAACCATATTAGTGTAACCATGAATTGGAAATGTTATCAGGTTTGAGTCAGGAAATGCAGAGATAAAGGACCCACGATAATTACTGATGAAAGATAGACAAGGTTGGTCCCTGAATAAATATATATCCAATATCAAAGATTTCCTATATTTGCTGCAAGTTATTTCTCTTCCAAGGTGAATTAAATAAAACAATTTTATAATTTCAAGAAAACGAAAAATCACCTAAAAGTATACATTATAGGAAAATGTAGACGCTTTATACTCGTAACTTCAATTATAATCAGTCTGGACATCTCAGGAAAATTTTGCCTACAATGAATACTTTAGAATTCAATGTTCCCGTTAAAAAATTATTCAGGTCAAATGGTGAACTGGGGAAACCAATAACAAAATTGAAAATAGGTTGTGTAAAAATACTAACACTCTAGTTCCACAAAGAACTGATAGTGCTACAAAGTTTACCCCGTAATTTTGCAAAGATGAAACATCCAAAGAGCTTTAGAGAACAAATACCTGGCCTAACAAATGCCCTAGCAAGCTCATTTGAATTAATTTCTGTGAATCATGACTGCCAAGTCTTTAAGAATATTATGAATCAATGTTCTAAGAACACACCAGTTTCTTTTATCAGAATCAAAATTATGGGAACTCGCAAAATTCTGTTCACATTTATTTTATAATTCAAGTATAAAAATATGTAATTGTAAAGACTAATATATCAACATGTGAATTCTTCAATAAACTTAATGATATAAGAAGAGTAAAACAGCAATGTGAATATTTTTTGATTGGAGAAGTTTCTAGAAAGACTGATAATCCTCATTATGCAGGTTTAGTAGCTGTTTTAATTAATTAATTTGAATAGATGCAAAGATTCCACAGATATTTTCTGATACATATAACACATTAATCTCAGTGTCTCTTGGTAGTCATTTGTTTAAACAAGTCACAATTGCAAGTTACAAACTAATTCGCTAGACATTTAGCTATTATTATTTATTAATTCCATATAAGGAGAAAGATCATTTTCCACTCGTGCTTTATGGATTTTCAGATTTTCTGTGACAAGTAATTTCCATTTCCTCCCTTTCTCTGAAGGACAGCAGAGCCAGCAAGTCTTAATTTTCCTGCGTCAGGTTCCCTTCGTTAAATTCTCTTTCCTAATTGCTAATAACAAAAAGTCCACTTAGGCCACAGTAATATGCATGTGTGGTTTGTGTGTGTGTGAGTATGTATTTGCAGATGTGTTAGTGACAGCACCAACACACTGTCATTTTGTCATTTACTACGGTTCCTTTATGTGCATTAAGAATAAGAAAAAATATGACAAACCCTGTAGTCTTTCCCCTCTGCCAAGCCAGCATCCTCTAAAGAACCATGTTTGCCCTTCTGGTTTCCCATGGTAATCCTGGAGCTTGTTCCCTTCTGGATCCAAAGGTGTGAGTTGCTCTAGGACTCAGAATCACCTTTTCCTTGGCCTCCCAGGGCACATTGAATTTAGATTTTGCAATGACAAAAAGACAAGTGTGTTTAGAATATATTCACTTGCCACATTTTTCTCTGGGTAAATGATCCAATCTCTGCAAGTCTTCCTTTAGATTTTTTTTTTTTTTAACAATCTTTACGCAATACAAGCAGCAACCAATATTCATTAATTGAAACAGAGTTTTACATTCTTGGGTCAGAGAAGAGGATGTTTGAATCTTGATTCTACTACTTGGTGGTAATGTGATCCTGGGTGATTTACCTAGAGCTCCAGTAGCTGAGTATGTTGAATGGGGTTATAAGCATAAGTTATTTCAAAAAATGTAATAATTAAATAGTTTCATGCATTTGAAGCATTTAATGATGCATGTAGTTAGAATTCAATAATTGTAATATCATTATTATTATTATTTATGTTATTTCCTACAAATAGCTTTATTTTACAGGAGGCGAAGGATGTTGGGAGAAATAAAAATTAGTACTTAAAAAATGTAATTAGCAAATGAGGCAGTTGAGGAAATGGCCTAAGGAATAGGAAGGTCACCCTTTGGTGGTGCACTGTGGCTCTCTGGCATCCTTTGGTCTGGCATCTCTATAGCACACACATACCCCTACTGCTGGGAACTGGGAAGGACTGGGAACGTTGGTATCGTCCTTGGCAGGCAGTGTTGGTGGGGGCTGTGGGAGATGGAGACGGAGTGGGTTGTCCTTGATGTGGTGAGATATTATTTTGATATAGTAAATTCTTCCTACCTTATCCCTCAATCCTGTATTTTCTGTTAGGTTGTTTCTATCTCCCAATTCAGCACGAGGCCATGAGCCATTATTACCTACTACATTGCATAATCCATCAAATCACAGGGTTTTGGTTGCATAATTAAAGAAATTCAGAGTCATGTTTTTAGATTTTGTTTTCAAAAGAATAAAATTTTAAA